TCTGCTTCTTTTCTTTCTGTTTGAAGAACTAGAACAATAAGTTTTCAAATTGTGAAGAAGTGCATTTACCTTCCTTTTAAAATCATGCTAATTGATGATCATCACTTTAATCATACATAGTTCTCTGCTTTTTGACGTAAGTCCAGGAACCTACAGAGCGTCAACCTCACAAATTCAGTTGTACTTTTTCTTTCAACCCCCGCCGTGGTCTTTTTGTGCTGCATTTTGAATACAGGCCCGTGACCCAAAGCCCACTTCTGCCCTGTCTTCTCTCTGTGACTCTGCTTTTCTTTTCATGTGCTACTGAACCCTGATGACCCCTCACCACCAGGACCAGTGGACACTGGTGAGGCTTTTTCTGATTGGGTTTCCTTATGCACTTGACTATGTTGTCTCTGCCTCCCTGAAGCCAGCACTGTGTAGACCTCGTGACTCTTAGACCTCTCTGTTTCTATCTGCCTTTGTCCTCTCATGTCCCCCTTCCTTTCCCTCTTCATTGGTCCTCTCCTGTATTCCAGGATGCTGTCCCAGGGCTGTCTCATCTCACTCTGAGCATTCTCCTACTGTGGTGCCTTCTTCTGGAAGGCGTCTGCCAGTTGCCTGTGCTCAGAGCTGCATCTGTGGCCTGGAGCTTTCCTCTGAGTTTTAGACTCATGTCTCCATCTACTCTCTGGCCCCAGCCTCATGGACATCCAGAGCTCTAGGAACCCCTGCCTCCCTGATCTGCAGAATTTCTAGACTGTGGCATTTTCCCCTCTCTGTCATCCAAGTGTGAAGTGAGTGAGTCCTCCTTCTTCCACACATCATGCCAAGCATTAGGTCTGGCTGATTGTCCTTCCTCATCTGCCTTAAATGCCCTCTTCCTTGGTATATCTTGTCTCAACCCCTGAAAAACTGCACAGTTTGTTTCTTTCAAGTCTTTCTTTCCTGTGGTTTCCAGACTGACATTGCTGAATGGAAAGTTGGCCATGTCGTTCTCCTGCCAGGGCCTGACATCACTTCCCACCCCAGCACCCAGTGTCCAAGGACCTGGCTGGTAGCTGCCTTTCTCCCTCTACTTCCCATCCCTGCCTTAAAGCAGCTCTGGTGCTGCCCACAGCTCTCCCGACACACAGTGCTCTTCATTTCTTAGAGTTGATGGTTAGAGCTGCGCTGCCTTATATCTGGGAGATCCAGGATACCAATCCAGGCCCCTCCCAGGGGGGTTTGGGGAACGATATACTCAGGAAATCATGGCCAATGGGAAATCAAAGAACTCCTTTATTGTTGGCTGTACTTGGGGCCCCAAAACCTATACAGACCAATGGTCTGGCTAGGGGACTATGGAACTTGTGCCTCAGTTTCCTTATCTGTAAAATGAGAATAATAATTTTATATACAATGTAAGGTTATTGAGATATTCATTAATGGATCCATGAAAAACACCCTGTACTATCTGAGTTCTCAGCAAATATTGCATAGTAATCATAAGGATTGTTAGGTCTTGTTACTCTGGCCATAACTCCAGCATAGCACTGAGTTTCTAGTCACAACAATGGGCCCCCTGACTTGTTTGATTCACTGTCTTTGGACCACAAGAAGAACTTGGATGTTTTATTCCAGATGAGCTAGGCTGGTGCAGCCTGTTTATATCTTCCTCCTAATTCTTGCCTGGATTCTGGCCTGAAAGCTCTGAATAAATAACTTCCCTTTTGAGACCTAGTGTCATTTGCTATTCGTGAGTATCTCACTTAGAAACCCAGTCTCATGTTTTAGTTTGCCTAGATAGCATTTAATCTTTGGTGTTGACATTAAAGTCCAAAAACTTGTATATATTCAGAGAGTCACAAATCCGCCTCACTCACCGCAGGGCCTCCAGGTCAGAGAGCCATGCCTGTCCTGCTATAGGGGCCGCCAGATAGATGCTTCGGAGATGGCGTCTCAGGGCTCACAGCATCAGTATGCACTCAGGCTTTCTGCCCCTGCTGTCTGCCTCTTCCCCAGCAGCAGCCCAGTGGAGCTCCATGCTGGCCCATGGCCTGCCACTAGGGACAGAACTTGCTCTGCTGGAGAGGCCCAGCTGCCTCTCAGGTAGCACAGTAAGTGAGGAGAGAGGACCCACAGTAGCAGGCAGCAGTGGTCGACTTCCCGGGAGGATTGTGAGGGGCGCGAGGGAGCAGAAGCAGCCCCAGGGAAGGGATAGCATGGCGTCTTGCTAACCCCTGTGCTGTGCGTGGCGAAAGGCTATGAGGCTGCTGAGACCTGGCGTCAAAGCAAAGCTGAGCAGACACAGACCCCAGGATGCTAGAGAGGGTCCTCTAGGAGGGAGGATTGGCCTCACTGAGGGTCCCTACCAACATGAAGGTAGACACCAGCTGCTCAGAGAGTGGTTCCTCAGATCCCGGTCTACCTAGTCTCCTCATTCATGATTCTGCCAGGGAGCTGAATAAGGGGTTGAGACTCTCCTGAGTTTGCTTTGCTACAGGAAAGGGGAAATTGGCTGTGGGTCTGAAGTTAGGTTCACGGGACCTGCTCTTGTTCTTATTCTGTTCTTATTCTGATGCCCCCTCTCTTACTGCTCCTGTTGCTCCCTGACTGCCTGGGTTGGCAGTGTACCATTTTCAGGTTTTTTTCTTTTTGATTTCTGTGTAAATGCTAACATTCCAAAAATAATAACTTCATAATACTTGCTTATTTAGAGATGAAAGCACTTGAAAATGGTTGAGCTTTTATTTTAACTTTGCACTAATCATATATTGGAATTTTAGACCTTTTGTTCTCTACTCAGTTGATAGATGAGAAAGCCTGAGTAATTTTGCCTTTGTGCCAGGTCCTTATATTTAACAAACTCTTGTGAGCCAAACCAACAGCATTATCTTACATGAAGTACTGAAAGAAAGCAGAACTGCACAAAACAACCCCCGTCCTGAGTTTGGCCTTGATGTCACGCATTCCCTGGGGACATCTCAAACCAAGAAGGGCCACTGGATTAACCACTTTGTGTATTTCTCTTGGAGAAGGACCCTTGTTCGGGGTGACTTGTTAACTTTATAGTCACACCTTCTCTGTCCTTTGGTGAAAGGACAGAGGGGAAGGGTAGAGTCTGGAGAGGTTCCCAGAAGACTGGAAGTTTCAAAATGGCTGAGTGCAGAAGGAAGGAAAGACTCAGGCCACTGTCAGGCTTCTGTCTTTATATGATTAGCTGGTTTTGTAGAGGGAGTCCTCAAACTGTTTATTTGAGGGGCCTACAAAACATCCCTCTAGAGAGGCCTGGAAAGCAGTTGAACACTCCTGTCTGCAGTTCTAGAGAGACACTGGCTGCTCGAGTTCAGGAACGTCACCCTGGACATGCAGGTTCAACATTCAGCAACACAGAAACCATGCTGGGACCCAGGGCAGAGCAACGAGAGCGGCCCAAGGACAGCACCTTGGAGAGGGCCAGCCTTCGCCATCAGGCCTGGGAAGCAAATCTTGTCAGTAAACCCAGAACACGCAGAGGGCAGCTGGGGAACCTGGCCACTGCGGTGCCCTGTGTTGCACTGGGAGGGGCAGCCAGCTGTGGTGATGAGGGGCCGTGACGTCTGACAGGAACTTCAGGAGCTGCTTGCCCAGGAGAACCTGGGGCCTGGGTGGAAGCTGCTCTTCAGGAGGCAGAGGGTGGGTGGGGTGGAAAGAGGGTGGAGACTTCGGAAGGCTCTCCTTTCATGTTCCTCACCCCACCTTTCTCCTTGGCCTGTCTCTCAATGGGAAGACTCAGCACATTTGTGGACTTGAGAGGAAGAAACCATTGAGAGAGGCTGCTGAGAGCCCCAGGGGAGAAAGGGTATCCCCTGCTCCATGTACTCCCCATTCGGGGTAGGAGTGGCAAAAATGTCCATGAGTCAGATGGTCAGGGATTTAACGTAGTCTTAAAAGACTCAGTGGTATGTTAGCTCCCAGATGCTCAAGAGTTCTGATAAAATAGCAAAAAAAAAAAAAAAAAAAAAAAAAAGTTGACGTGGCATCTTAGATGTCCGCTTACAGTAACATTGAGTCCTCACCACAGCTGCACAAGGAGCTGTCACCACCCACATTTCCCTGATGAGAAGACCAGTGCTCAGAAAGGCTCTATGACTTGTCCAAGGTTCCATGTGCTCAATGGTCTGGTTGAACCCCCTAGTGTTGGGGCCATAGTTGGCTGCCCTGTACTCTTTCAATCCTGCTGGGCAGGGTGGCTGCCATTCCTGGTGCCTGCAATGCAAAAATGAGGATTCCTATAGCAGTTATCAGAACAGCACAGCACATGGCTCAGGAGGACACTTTGGTATCCTCCTGACCACGGGTAGAGCACGGGATGCCATAGTGATCAGATGCTGATCCACCACTGAGTTCATGGCCACATCCTTGGGCTCCCAAGAGGCCTGAGTGTTCTAGAGTCACACTGGCTACTCGAGTTCACCTCCTCTCTTCATGATTCCCTAAAAACAGTGAGCAGGAGGGCAGACAAGGCTGTGGATTCATGTGCATCCTTATCCTGAAAGTACCTCATCTCACCCAGGTTGGGGTTGGAAGTAGGTTTTACCAGATGGAATTACCCAGTGAGTACTACTGCATACACAGATTCTTGCAGGTAAATACCACGGACAGAGGAAGTCGTTTAGCTGAAGAAGCACAGATATCAGGAAATTAATTGTAATGAAATCTGCTTTTAATGACATTCACTTAAAAGAATGATCAGTTGCTTTTTTTCTTCTTAAACAAAAACTGTAGATTCTGGGTAGACCAAAAAGGAAAGGAAATGAAGTAAGGAGAGCACACTGCTTTAGGAAAGAGGACTCCATCCTGGGAGCACTTCATCCTGGTTGCCTGGTGGTTCCCACAGAGGCAGGACTTGGCATTCCTGGGATCAGCTCTTTCCCCAGGGTTTATCACAGGGTTTGGGTGCCAGATGCTTACCAGATGGGCAAAGGGAGATGTCACTGGGGAAGCTGTGCTCCTTCTGCTTCCCTTGAGGCTCACTTTTCTGCACCCCCTTTCTGCAGCCTTTCCGCTGTGCTCACTGCCATTACTCCTGCAACATCTCTGGTTCGCTGAAGCGGCACTACAACAGGAAGCACCCCAACGAAGAGTACGCCAATGCGGGCAGCGGGGAGCTGGCAGCAGAAGCACTCATCCAGCAAGGTAGGCCAAGGGCCAGCCCCGGGACTCAGGTCCTCCCAGACCCAGACCCCAGAAGAGCAGTGGGCACCTGCGGTTCAGTCTGGTCCATGAATGCGAGCTTGGTCTCTCCTTCATCGTTCTTGTTCTGTCTTCTTCCTCATTGTTAAATAACAGTTGTTATCTAATAGTTGTTATTTAACAATGAGGAAACAACTGTTGCCTGGTAGGGATAGAATAGCCTTAATGACGATCTAAACTGACAGCAGGAAAAATTTACCCACACACTGCCCCAACCCCCAGCAGTGTTGAGCTGTCATGGTTTCCCTCTACGCCATCTAGACATGGAGTTTGCAGAGAGGAAAGTTCATGATTTTTTTTTAACTCAACATTGATTGATGGGACGATTTTTTTCCCTTTGATATACTGTCTTCCTGACTGTAACTTTTAAGGGCTTTTTGCAATACAACATTGAATGCCAGGGATTTTGTAGTAACGGTTCTTCTGTTACTGAACATTGTGGGGTTCCTAGATTTTTTATTTTCTTTTTGCAGTTATAACTATTGCTATTGTATTATTTAGAGATGAACTTTTTTGCATTATCTAAAAATACTGGATAAGGAAAAACATTTTAGAACATTTAAACTAATAAAAATTGAAGAAAACTTTTAATAGTATTGAAAAGTTTGACGATTTTTTTGGTGTTTTGTTGCATTTTTAAATAAATAATCTTGTATTCTCACTTAGGAGGTGTAGGCTCATTTGCTGTTACTACATGGAGAAATGTTGTCACATTTATATCTGCACTTCAGTGATTCAGCTAAAATGATGGCAGCATTCTTTGAACCAGTTGCTGCTCTTTCCCAAGTCTTGTGATGATCTGAAGCTGAGGACAGTTTTAGAAATCTGTCCCTGGTGAACAGCGATGGGAACTATGGGCCCTGCTGCAGCTGGGCATGCACAGCTTTGTGAGTCGGTGTGCAGCTCTGCCTGCTGTAACAGCCACAAGATTCTTCTTAATGTGAAACAAGTGAATTGCCAGCATCTTTCAGCACTAGCAGTGACAGAGCTGGTGTTCGGAAATAGATGAGCAGCTTAGAGATCTCAGGATGGTTGCAGAGCCATCCATCGGGGTGACAAACCACATGTGCCTTTGTTTTCTGCAGTGGCAGTTTTATGGAGAAATGCGGAGGCCCTGGCTCAAATCTGATTCTTCTTTGGCTGAGCCGCCTCGGCCAGTTACCCACCTCCTGTTCGCAGGCCATTCCTCTATAGACAGGATCTTGGAGCAGCCATTTGTGGCAATATGGAGGAATCCCCGTGGAAGAACACTCAAGCATTGGTGTGCGATATGGTTTCATTCTTAGCTTTGTGTTTTTGTTTTTGTTTTTCCCTGAAGATACCTGGGACTGTGGAGCCACTGCTATTTTTCAGGGCCTTGGAGATGCTAGGAATCTAACCTAGGATGTGGCACATGTGGGGCAAGTGCCCCCCGCTAAGCTTCCCCCCCCCCCATAACATTACTTTTGAGGACCATTCTCATGTCCAGGAATCATGGAGGGGAAGATGGACTGGCTTAGAGTCACTGTAAATGTCTGGAATGGAGGGCTAGACCTTTGTTTTTATCCTTCACACTCGTGGATTGGATTGACAGGAAATAGACCTTTGTTGTGGCGGGTGGGACAACATGTGGATCTGATTGATGAAACTGTCATTGCTCTGTGCTTCCAAACTTTCATCACTGCCTTGTAAAACATGTGCTGAGGCTGAACTCTTTCATGCCCTAAAATTTCTGTTACTAAGATTCTCTGTAATCAGTTGGCATTTCCAGGCAGGTCTGGGTTTTATATTTAATGTTTGTTTTCTTTCATGAACATCTCCTTCCCCCACATCTTCCTGGGGTATGTTGGAGGAGACACCCAATTTCTCCTGACTCTGCCATTACGCTTCAGCTAGAGAGCAATCTCTGAAATCAGCTGATGAAGTGTAAACACGCTTTAGCCATCTAAGAAGCACAAAGCTCACGCTGTTCTTTTATCAGGAAGAGGGAAAAAGAATGGAGGGAGAGTGTGAAACTGGATTCGATTGTTTGGAAATACAAAATTGTTTGGTACTATCAGAATTTTTCATCCCTTTTTGATTAATTTCAAGTAATTCTCCCCATCTCCACTTGGTTATGTCTTGTTATGCCCACTCCCCAAAAACATCTTTATGAGGCTTTGTAGTTTCTTTAAAATAGATAGATACAAAGGAAGATATCTTAGAATAGTATAATAAAATCTTCTCACAAAATGAAGTTAGAGACTACTTAAACTAACTGCATGGATTCCTTTTCTGCCACCAGTGTATAAATGGTGTCACACTGTGACATGTGCAGAGCCACTGATTGCCAGAGAAGGCTGTCCTGCCCTCCACACCACAGGGATTCTGGGAAGGGTGCCAGCACACCATGCTTTTATGAAAGTAGGAAAAAGGATCTGAGTTCTTCCCAGAATAGACGTTTCTGTTCTGTGTAAGTTTCTGAGAAGCGACCTCAGTCGTCCACAGAGCTTGGGTGGGTTTCAGTGCACTCTCGCCGGGAATGGTGCTGCCCGGGCACCCACCAGCGTGTGCTGGTAGACGTCTCCCAGGGAGGGGAGGGAAGGCCTGGTGTGTAGTGTTGGTCAGTCACTGTGGCGGCGTAAATACTCCCAGAGGCCAGTGCTAAGCTCCAGCTTGGAAGTTGGGGAAGTGTGTGTGCATTTGGCTTTTGAGCTGTTTTGAGGCAGCTCTAGGATTCCTTGGATCCTGAGGGAACAGGGGTGACATTGCCAAGTCCCTGTCAGCTGGGCTTCTCCTCAGAACTCTGGTACTTTTTGGTCAGTAGTCCTGTCCTAAGTACTAAGTCAGGGTGTTACTCAGCTTCTGCTAGATGTGCGTCTGGTATTTTGAGAGCGGATTCCTCTCAGCCCTCACTTGTTCATCAAGATGGATTTGAGGCTCTCTCCCACAGAAACGCATACTTCGTTCCGTGTTGCTTCAATAGTCCTGCCCTTCCCCTCCTTGAAACATGACTCATTAAGCTGCTCAGGAGCTGGTCTGTGAATCACAGGCAGCAAGAAGAGTGAGGTGCTTTAGGAGGCTTCAGCTCCCTCCAGTGCACATGGCGGGATGAAGGTGGAGCCAGAGGCCAAAGAACACTCTCAAGTCCCTCTAGATTATGGAATGAGCCCAGGGGAAGGACTCAGACCTGGAGGGGTCTCTGCTCACGAGGCACTTGGACAGGTACTCACCTTCTGCCCTCTTCTGCCGAGGAAAGCTAATATTTACCTCAACAGTAGTTGCAAGGATTTGATCTCATTCGCTAAGGTTTCCAGGCCGGGTCCAGCATGTAGTCAACGCTCGATAATGGCTCACATTTGCTGTTATGTTTATCCATGTATTTCTTTGGGCACATATTTCTGAAACTCCTAAAGTGTGTCCAGAACTATGCTAGCCACTGGAATCTGTTGTCAAACGAGGCGATCCTATGGTAGTATTTGTGTTGTTGCTGCCTAGGTTGGGCATGGGGCATGAGGCAGTTCCTTTTGAGGCTTCAGGTTCTGATGGTATAGCAGAAAGCACATCCTGCTTCTGCTGTGCCCAGGATGCAGACAGGAGGAACGTCAGCTGCTTCTCTCTCAAGTGGCTGTGGCTTCTCTGGGTCCCCAGTTGCAGAGGCATTGAGGTGAGGGTATGTAATTGAGATAGAAGCAGCAAAGAGATGAGGCATGTCAAGGAGAAGGCTTAGTTGAAAATTTTATATTATTTTGAACTATTAAATGAGAAGAATATAAAGACATGTACATGTGAACCTGGAATATATCTGCGTATCTTATTTTTCACACCAGGTTCAGGAAAACAGCATATCTAAAAACTAAAAACTCATGAATTAGACCTTCAGACACTGTTATTTTAAAATTATATTTATTAGGGCCCAGATTCAACACATTATTGGTAGATGCTTCCAGTAATGTGATGTTGTACTTTGCTGTTGTCATTATCATATCTGCTAATTAATCCTGTGCAGTGACCTTGTGAGGTTGGCACGGGCATTCCTGTTTTAAATGAGGAAATGGAGAGAGGGCAAAGGCTGACTGCAGGCCACGAAGTAAGGAAGTAGCCAAGCCACACCTAGTGTTCTTGGCTAGCACTGTGCTTGCCACGCATACCTCGTGAGAAATCTGTAAGTCTGTGCTTGTTGGAGAGGTGAGCAGAAGACGGAGGCGGAGGAAAAGGCTCAGTCCTATTCTAGGGTGCGCTGGGTTGCACCTGCTGCTGGACCACGTGTCAGTGACTAAAGGATCACACAGGGCTGCTGCTTACTTTCTGTGTCTTTGTACCTAGACTGGGTGCTAATTTGACCCAAGGATGATCGTGGGTCCTGTCTCTCTTTCTAGCCCTTCCCCCTGGTTACCCAGAGGGTCTCAGATCCCAAGATTTTGAGGAGTGTGGGCGGAGGGCATGGGGAAGGCCCTGTTTACCAGGTCTTCCTCACCGGGGTTGGCATCATGGGCTGGCCTTGGACAATACATGTTGCTTTTCCTCTGCTGTACTTTTCCTCTTATCCTGGAAAGATGGGGCTGAGGTCTCATACAGGATTCAGATGTCACCAAGTCCCGTGGCAGATGTGGTCTAGCAGTATTTTATGTCACTGGGGACCCCTGTGTGGTGCTTGCAGGTGATTTCCTCTTAATTCCTACCCCTGGCACGTTTTCTCATTCTGAACTGGGATTCTGGCTGGACTGTAGGGCAGGTACCAAGTTCAGAGATGACAGGAGGTGAGGATGTCAACAGAGACCACATCTCTGAACTAGTTTTCTCTATCCAGTTTCCTTTGATAGTTAATCTGCTTTTGCTCCGATGATCCTTTAACATCTGTATTAGTTTCCTATGGCTGCTGTAACAAATGACATAAAACAGCACAGATATTTTATTTTGCAGTTCTGAAAGCCAAAATATGCAGTGAGTCTTCCAAACTAAAGTCAGGGTGCCAACAAGCCTGT